GAGATATTCCGATAAATGTAAGAAATAAAGTGCCAAGTGCCTACACCAGAAACAAACCGATTTAAACGTTACAAATAAAGTTATTTCCTCCAACAATTTTACAAGTTTGAGTCAAATGTTTTTTTTTTGTGAACTGGTATATCTATTTTATGCCTGTTATTTGCTACAACGTTGCCGGATTGTTTATTTTTATATATTACATAAAAGCATTAATTGTTAATTCTTTATTTTACAAGTTTTCTAACGAGTGGTGAAAAAATCGCAATTAGAACCACTTTACGCTACGCTGCGGTAAAAATGTAAGTGCATCGGCACAAGAAATTAATGATTTGGAAGGCCTAGGAACTGTCAACATGTTCGGTCGTTTAAAGGAAGTTGAGACCAGCCTCAAAGACAAAGCAAAGTCATAGAGAACTTCTGCTGTGGAAGACGAGGCCTTGCTTGAAATGACTGAACACGCACAAGCGTTGTTGGCGGAAATGGGTCCGTCACTCATCAGTCGACATCACCTTAATACTTTCATTATGATTTGTTTTTGATTGTGCTTTAACTATTTGGCCATAGCCGGGTCCCTAACAGGTGCTACTATTTTGGGTTTTCGTATACCTAAGATTAACACCACCCACGTTCAGAACCCTTGCTGTTGAATGCAGTTTATCGCCATGCACAAGACCAGAAGTACCGAATAACCTAACTTGGCTAAATGGTTGATAAAACAGAAATTAGGCGAGATGACCGACAAAATTATTAAGAGCTACAAAGGATTGGACCTTGGGAATGGCCGTTAATGGCTGTCTTGAAAGGACACAAGAAGAAGAAGAAGAAGAAGAAGAAGAAGAAGAAGAAGAAACACCCTTCTCATGCTGTAACTTTTGATTTCTTCTCAGTAATTTTAAAGAAAGAACTTTTATTAGCAGCATCAACTGCAAATATGAAGCAATCAACCAAGCATTGGATCATGTTTCTTGTTCAAAATTACTGAGTATAAGAGAGTTTACCTGCTACGTGTGATTTTGGCCGCAGGCCATTGTTATTCTATCGAATTCGATGGCGTGAAAACACATGGAGCATGTCAAATAGAAATCATTGACCAAATTTGAGCGAACTGAAACAATCGGCAGCAGTCTGAATCTTTCACTTGAACAGATTTTACAGGCATAGGATCATGAGATATTTTTGCTGTGTCTTTGTGAAACGAAATAATTGCGTTGTGGACGATTTCGTATTTATCGGCTTCCTTGGAGGAATTTCTACCCTCAACCTGTGTATACCTCTCGGTGGTCGCTTTTCAGTGGATAAAATCAACGATCTATATACGGTTCGAATCAGCTCAGTCGTTACTGCATAACTGGATAAAAACTTGGGATGCAATCAAATGGGCGAGAGACAACAACGGTAAGAGCCAAATATTATCAGAAAATATTTAAATGTTTAAATTCCAATAGAAAATGCTTGTCGATAAATAATTACAGCAATAAAAAACAGTAAATAGAGTATCATGGAAGAGACAGTCAAATGAAAACGGACTCGGTAGCAGTATCATTCCAGTTTCTAATACCGGATATTTTGTGTAACCTACCGTGAATGGTATAAAGGAGTCGTCTCTGACGATATTTGAAGTTTGTTTAGATACTGAATGATTCTATATTCCAGCAGAATAAAAAGGAAGGCAACAGCTTTTTTTATCTCCTTTAATAGTGCGATGTAAAGATAAAAGTTGGAATTAATTGTTAAAATACTGCTGCAGTCAATAAGATATTTATTCCCTATTCAAACTAAAACTCATAACGAAAGCTTTTGGTTTACAACCACCTTTTGATTACTACCACCTTTTGGTTTACTACCCCCTTTTGGTTTACTACCACCTTTTGGTTTACTACCACCTTTTGATTTACTACCACCTCACGTTGAAACATCGGTTGCCGTACAATCACGGAAGTTATGCGACGTTGGGTGGTTGTTGGGAAAACAAGATGCGGTAACCATGTATGTGAAGATGTGTAATGGAAAATGGCTAGAGTTTAAATTTCTGTCAGGTTCATTACGTTCTCTTACGCGCAAATCCCATTTCGAAAATTATGAATAAATGTCTTCTCCTTATTGTTTAAATAGTAAAACTTTTATCACGAAAACCCTTATTATAACTCCCCCAAAATCATAAAAAGGCGTACATAATATTAAATTTCGTCATTAAATAAACCATAAAGTACCACTAAGCAAAAGAAAGCAAAGGCGAATACGTCTTTTTTAAGTTTACCTCTTAAAATTTATCAGTGCTTGAACATTTAGTAGACAATATTTGAAAAAAACACACAATATGATTATCATATGCCAATGTTCAACGGGGATATTTATTATATTTTTCTGGAAAACTATACAATTGTCTCTACAAGAAAATAATGTTTTTGCAAATTACCTTCTAAAATCTTCATGAAAGCACAAGTGAAAGACTTAATTTAATTTGATTTGATTTCTTTTTAACAGCATATCAACACCTTCACGGGCCATTTAATGCCGAAATTTATTTTTCTTTTCAGCATTGAAATAAAGAAAAAATATATGTTATTTTGATTTCACATTGAATACCTGGAAGGTGATACTCAGCTTTTGTGCATATGCATGTTTGGGTGGATATAATTTCGAGAGGCGTTGACATGTGTGCTTCAGATCTTAGTTTTGAAGTTATGTGTTGGATACAATTTGATTTTGTTAAGAAAATTTAGGATAATTTATGGATTACTGTCATGGGAGATTTGTTGGTTGGTTGATTACTGTTTAGCAACATATCATTAACTATGTGATATCAGATGATTATTGCGTTTGATTTCCCTCTGATGAATCAATAATATCATCGCAATCATCTATCATCTCATCTATAGCAAAAATGAATTCAATAGTTTTAAATGACTTAAGAATATCAATAACTACTCGCCTAGAAAATGAAACATTAAACTCTTAAATTCCAAATACCAAACAATCTAACATTGTTGAGAAATGCTTCAAAATGATACCACTGATGCACTTACGGATAGTGGCGTAGTGGATACGGAAGTTCCTATTACATATGTTTCTGCCATGTAGGGAATCAATAATACGTATCACAAGGACGGATGACATAAATCAAAAGATATCTGATATATGCTGAATCAATTTTGATGATGATCATCTGAGAGTAGGTGACTGAAATATTGTGTCGATAATAATAATAATAACTATAATATTCAAGATAGAAATAATAATTAGAAAGAATTACAGTATAAAAGTAACTTATCTAAACATATAAACGTCCTCGGTAATGACGATAAACGACACCCCTTTCCTGGGTATGACGATAAACTATATCCGACAGCAAGTTCTTTGATAAGAAGTTTTTGAGGAACGTGGTACCACCTCTTAATTGCTCGTGTCTCCGGAGCCAACCTGACCCGGGTTGGTAGCACCTGCCAGGTTCTCAGCTGTGAGCAAATAGTTAACACCCTTAAAATGGTTAAAACTCTATGAAATATATATATATATATATATATATATATATATATATATATATATATATATATATATATATATATATAATTCCAGCAATAACTTTTGGAAATTTTGTAGCAGCAATACATTTTTGAAAAAAAAATATTACTAGTATTACATATTTGAAAAAAATTACCAGCAATAGATTCTTAGAAAAAAATTACCAGCAATATATTTTTGGAAAAAAAATATCCAGAATACATTTTTGAAAAAATTATTACAAGCAATAAAAATCTTTTCGGCTTTAAATAAGCCATTGAGGTTGATATGACGTAGAATAAAACAAACAAAAAAACAAAAAAAACGTGTAACATTAATTTTGAATGGTACAGTAAATAGTAATTGTTGTATATAACATAATTTTTTAAGGATTTATATAAAAAAGCGGTTGTAAAATCTGACACGTTTCAACAATAAATATTTACAAAATAGTCTTTGCGACTATTCCTCTTCCTCTTCGTTTAATTCTTTGTGTCTTTTCCTCCAGGACATGAGAGATCATGTCTCTCCACAATTTCCTGCCCTTTGTGGCTCTTATTAAATTTTGCATTTTTGTTATCTCGTCAAAAACCTTCTTCGGTCACCCGTTTAATCAAGCTCAGTAAGTAGCTTATGCTTTGGTTTTATCTTTGCTTCCCGCCTTTAATCTGTCTTGTGAGTATTAAATTTTCCAAGTCCACTTTTCTTATTATGCACACGAGAAATTTCAACTGACACTTGCTGTTGTTAAGCAAAACTGTCCTTTTTGTTTTCATTTTCTCACACATTTCGTCTTTGCTCATAGTTTGCCTCTATAAAATTCTGATCATCCTTCTGTACAAGCACATATCTTTTGCTTGAAGTCTTCTCTTCATCTATGATTTTCTAGCATTCTCTGTCATATATGAGTACTGGTATTCAATAACTTTCTTATGGCTATTTGTTTGTTTCTTAATAATTTCTTTAGTTTTTGGAAGGCATCATTCGCCATCCCAATGCGCCTTCGGATACAAATTCTTTCAACCTTTCATTGAATATCTTGTACAAATAAAATGTAGGAAGTCCGTCAACGAAATTTTCTCTCTTTCCCAGACTATAACTCGCTTTCTATTGATAATATTTGTATGTATCTTAAAACTGCTGACCTGAAGACTGTTTCGCTACGCCTGTCATAATATTTGATACATTAGGTCCTTCCAAGATTTGCCAAGTTCGCATTTCCTAATACATGATAAGCACGTCGACGTTGAATCTTGATAAGCACATATATGGCTGAATCGAAATTAGGAATGTTTTCTATGCGAAATAGATAGAGGAAGAAAGAGAGAAAGACATAGAGAAAGTTTGAGCAAGAGAATGATAAGAAGATAGAAAAACCATGGAAGTTCCTAAGTACTTTCCTGATCATGCGCGTGTCTCTTCCCATCTACTTGAGCGGGATATAAAAACAAAATCTAAAGCAGAAAATGGTTGTGCAGAACATTATCTTATTTTGTCAGTTCTCACAGCATCCATCGCCCTTCTCCTGCCTCTTATCGTGGATGGATCTTGCAAGAGAGAATTTGAAGTTACAACCCAATATCTGTTTGTTGTGAGAACCCGTCGGCATCAAATTGAATCATACCTGCATTTTCTCTTCTTTAGCTTATGGCGTTTGTTTGGGAAAAGAATAGATTTTTTTTTCTAATAGATCTATTTCCCAAGATCTAATGACAATGTATATCTTTCAAAAACATGTCGCATGAGCTTGAGATGGGCCATCAAAAATTTTATTGTATTATTTGGCATTTATTTTTAGCAGGATTTGCGAAAATACGTCTATTTTAGTTTTCATATGATTGAGCTTACGCTCATCTAAAAACCTGCGTTTGTACCAAACAATGCTAATTGACATGAGCAAGCAGAAAAACCAAAAAATGTCAGTAGCAGACATTTTGTTTCTTTGTAATATTATTGTCCGAAAGTCGACTTTCGTTTCATCACATTTACGAAATAATTTCTTTATTTCACAGCGGAGACGCAGGTTTTATTTCTGCCAGTAACAAAATCTATTTCACTACATTCATGTTAATAAGATTATGATGATTAGTGATTATATAACACTTTAACTATTTTTCAAAATTATTATATACTGACATGTATAACTGGCAAAGTCTTTTAAACTTTTAACTCTGTTAATGAATTTGCACACTGTTTATACATAGAGAGAGAGAGAGACGCACACACACACTGTTTATGCATAGTTATTAATAATCTTCACACACATATATCTATATATATATATATATATATATATATGTATAATAGCAGCCACTCGTATTCGTGTATAACCATCTGCTAGGTGGCTAGCCAATCCCTATTGTAGACTCTCGCTCAGGCACATTTGGGTCTATTCAGCACACACACAGCCAAACAGTAGTTTATATTGCAGCTATGGTGAGCAGACCTTAGTTACAGTTTAGAATGATCAGCAATGTGAACAATACCAGCACACTCAAACCTTCGGGCACGATGACATATAGCAAAGGTATTCGTTTCCCCAATTTCATTCACAAGGTTTGGGTCAACCCGTGGTATGATTTTCAGGCACTTTCCAAAAGTGCCGCACGCTATTTCGTCCCCACACCAGACAATATATATATATATATATATATATATATATATATATATATATATATATATATATATATATATATATAATGCTATAGATTTACTAATTTATATATATGATCCTATCGCTACCCAGAAATTACCATATATATGCTCTGCAGAATTGTATTGGCCTCTGTTTCTTTTTAATTAAAAATTATTAATAAGAAAAACGGATTATAAATCTCACTTTTCTTCCACATTATTTTAATATATATATATATATGTGTGTGTGTGTGTGTGTGTGTGAGAGAGAGAGAGAGAGAGAAAGCGTGTGTGTGTGTGTTTGTTTGTATGTATATATCTATGTGTCAAATCAGCGAAGAGAAATTTCAGTCGATTCAATGGTTCTCCAGATAGCGTTAATACTGTAGGGCAGATTGGGGTCTATTCTCGTCGCTGGAAACGAATTAACGCGAAGGACAACAAGACTGACTAAGACACTTTATAGAATTTATAGAACATATTGCATCATTTCCATGTCATCATTTCTTTTGATAGCTGTGCATGCTGCTACACAAACCATTATAAATATAATCTCATTAAACATGATAGGCTTAGAATTTCTCATGTAAAATCAACTGAACAACAATTAAAACATAAAAAGCGGAAACGACTGCTCATTTTATTTCTTCCGATATTGGTCTTAAGTCGATTTAAGTACGAAGCAATATAGAATTTATAAGAATAAATAAATTAACATTTCAAAATTTATCTTCAGTACTCAGAGTTTCGTGAATTTACTATCAAATAACTTGACAAGAGAATGCAATATATGCGAAACACCAAATTTATAAATTTTGATATTAAATTTGAATAGACTCAATATTCAATGGATGGATACTTTAATGGCTATTAAGAATTTCTCAAAATGAAAAAAAAAATAATAGTTAATCACTTGTTTGTTTCTTATGATATTTTTTTCATATAATTTTGTTTAGATCCACGAAGACATTTCATTTGGTTTATATTTCATTTCGGACTTCTGCGTCTTATCTTCTCCGTCATTATTTAAATTATTACACAAGTTACACTTCTACAGCTGCTTAATTTTGACGTCCTCAAACCGTTCTTTTAGTAGTAATTTTGTGTTCGACATTCGTGCATTTATGTTTTTTTTATGAGAAATATTTGTATCTAATATAGTTCCTTGGAAATCCCTAGTTTAGCTGAAATTGATACGAAGAATAATAACTCAAAAATGTATTCAGAATATTGCCTTGTTCAATTATTCCTACTGAAATATTAATATGCATCTACATGCATATACACGTAGCCTCTTATACGCATGTATAAGATATACACACACACACACACACATATATATATATATATATATATATATATATATATATATATTAACAACAGATAAAATTTTAGTGAAATCCGACAAAACTGAAAAAGTATTATATTGAGCACTGTTTTGTAAAAATAAAATAAAAAATATCAATAATAACACTGTATTATATATCTTACTGTTTTTTCCTATGTTATATATATATATATATATATATATATATATATATATATATATATATATATATATGCATATATATATATACTCCTGCATACATACATGCATATACACATATAAATACACATCTGCACGTAAACACAACACACACACATGTATATATATATATATATATATATATATATATATATACATATATATATACATATATATATATATATATATATATATATATATATAAAAAGCTATATAGACACACAAACATATACATACATGCACATATATCTATAGATAACAATGACGAATTCTATGTCCGTGCAAACTTAATGCATAAACAGTGACAAAATGTCAATATCAAATTCATCATTCTATAGATCAGTATATTTGGCATATTGGCCTCTCTACTTAGGATATGTGATGGAGTATATCAGCTAATAAGTAAAAATGATAGGGACTCGTAGAGTACCATGATCGCTCCCTTCCAGAATATAAAAGGCATATAGATATCAGATAGGATTCGACCAACTATCATTGGTGCCGATAAACTACATCCGTCAACTGATTGGGAGAATGAAGGTCTGGAGGTGCATAGAACAATCTCTTAATTGATGTTTTTCATATGTCCACCCACGTTAGTAGCACCTGTTAAGGTCCTACCTATCTTCAAATAATTAATCCCCAAACAGAACACTGTGGAAGTATAAAAATACTTTTTTATAGTAAAAATACCAGCAATATATTTGTATATTAAAAACTTACCAACGAAGCTTATCTATAGTAAAATTTCCTACTATATACTTTTAAAGTAGAGTTACGATCAATGCATTTTATAGCAAAATGTCCAATAATATATTTTATCTATAGTTGCCGCCATAAAAATATGTTCAAAATATTTAGACTTCAGTATTGTAGAGGTTGATATGTTGCTAAATAAAATCAATCAACCAACCAACCACTACATTATTAGAAAACTAATAATTTCCATCTGTCATTTCCGTTTTTATCGTTCTTTATATTACTTTAAACCCTTCCAATACTTATAAAATATTATATTTCTTCGATGGACGAAAGACTAGCGAGCCATGTAATCGAGAGAATTAAGATAGGATAAGGAATATATTTAACATATAAGATTATGATTATAAGTAATTTCTTCTAATCCGAGATATTGCTAATAAATATATTCGGAAAATATATTGAGTAATATGATAATAGATGTACGGATAAGCAAACGGTTTTAGAAAGTGTGAATCAGCGAATCAGGATGAAATCTCATAGAAGACTCTTTTTGCTGGTTTTCGCCCAATGTTCAGAGTAGAAATATAATCCTGTCCATTCTCCCTCCACCTATGTCTTGAATAGAATGGTAGACTTGAAACTTGATGAAAAAATCTCACGAAAAGAGAATGAGAAACCACGCTACTGTTTTTCAAAAGGTGTCAATTATCAGAAGATAATGAATAAATATTTTCTAAGTCCTGAATATGACGATAAACTACGTCCAGCAGTAAGCCCTCTGATCAGGAGGTTTTGAGGAGCGTGGAACCACCTCTTGATTGCTGGTGTTCTCAGGGTCCCAGCTATGGACAAATAGATGACCATCAAATTGGGGTCAAAACACTATGAAAGTGAAAAAATAGGTTTTAATACCAGAAATACTTTGTAAAAAATTATTACCAGTAACACATTTTTGAAAAAAAATTACCAGCAATACATTTAAAAAAATATTATTTTAATGCATTTAAAAAATATTACTAGCAATATATTTTGGAAAAAATAATATTTCAAGCAATACACTCTTGAAAAAAATATTACCAGCAATACATTTTTGAAAAAAAATAATAACATTACCAGGTATAGATTTTTGAAAAACAAATATTACCAGCTATACATTTTTTTGAAAAAAAAAAAAAAATTACCAGCGATATACAGGGTGACCCCCCCAAAAAATAACTTTTTAACAATCCAATAAACCCAAGAGTGACGGAAGAAAAATATTTTATTCATAGTAATTGAAAACTTAAAACATGCAATTTAAGAAAAAATGATGGCATTGTCATTTTTTAAAAATGATGTCCTGTAGATGGCGTCCTCCTGTACGAATGCATTCTTGAAATCTGCTGTTGAGATTCCTCATTGACTGCTGCAGCATCTCAGCTGGGATACTGTGAATTTCCTTTTGAATTCTAAATGGCGAAACGTTTACTTCCTCAAGGTCACTGTCTCGCAGTGTTGAGATTTGCTCATGTCTGGCAATACGCACTTCAAAAATTCCCGTTTTTTTGGTTCACCCTATAAATTTGAAGGAAAATTATTAGCCGAAATAGATTTTTGAAGAAAAAAATATTACCAGAAATCGATTTCTGGAAAAAATATTAAGAACAATGAAAATTTTGTCGGCATTAAAAAAAACATTATGGTTGATATGCGGTAAAAAACAAAATAAAACAAAATAAAACAAAACAAAACAAAATAAAACAAAACAAATGTTTTATGTCCCCCGTTTTAGTATTCTGTGGAGAATTAAAAAAAA